CTCACTCCAGATCACGTAGAGTGGCGACGGACCGGCTACTGGGGCCTTAACCAACCAATCATTTGCATATTAAATGCAAGATACAGTAAAAGACAAATAGTAAAGTGATCTATTCCACACATATAATGAATCTCAGAGGAATAAACAAATTAAACACCATCTACCCTCATATTATTTAACCCAAGTAAAATCATAAGGTTTACAACTTCAAGCATAAACAACATTATACCCAAAGTAATTAAATAACTGTTTCAAAACCATAAGCGACACTTATTCTTGAAGACCTATAATAAAAGAAATCTTCAAGTCTTCTAAGCCCTTGTTTGATTGTATACTTACTCTTCACCCTGATCCTTACCTGAAAAAGTTAAACGTTTGTATGAGCATGACGGCCTGTGAATAACAACCACCTCTGAGAAGATGTGAAAATAAGTCTCACAGTTCATATACAAGAAGTAACTTTTGATACATATATAAGTATAACAAATTATACCCCAACCTCTCTCACATAATCATTTAAATAAAATAATCTCATGTTCACAAATGTATCTATAATGAAAATACATTTATAAATCAAACACCCACACACACTCAATTTTAAATGCATTTGTTACCTTCATCCCAATAGCTAGGCCCTAACCTGGTAACTGGATCTGTTGCTTGTTATCATTAGTTTGGTGATTGGCTTCTTTGTGCACATCTCTATACCGATCATGTTGGCTCTCTTCAATCTCGTTATCATTTAGACCTAGTAACTCAACATCTATTTCATAAAATATGGTTTTAACACACATACCAAAACTATTATTTTAGTCCCAACGACACAAAAAATTTATCTTTCATCACCAAAATATATTTAAGCAATGATATAAAATCATCCCGATGTTTTTTAAATTTACGTGTATAACAAATCATAATTGAGAAACATTTAATTCCAACCTCAAACAACATATACAACATATATATAAAATATCCACAAGCACGCACCCACGAGTTTAATATAGAAAATCCTCCCCAAAGTAGTAAAATACTCGCATTGGTTCTCGAATTTCAGTTCAAAACTCTCTGTCTCAATCTTAATGTAGTCACCACCTAATTTAAAATAACATGTAACGATCAATTCCTATTCCTAGCTTCATAATTTTGTGATTCTACATTTAATTTTTGTACTTCCTACCCATTGACATATATTTTGTATATCACTTACATAGAAATAATCTTTTTAATATGCGATAATAGGATATGAAAGTAATTTGAGCAATTTAGAAAGAGTTTCAAATTTTTGGGGTCAAATCATAATTTTTGAACCTTTTGGGGTTAAAGTGTAATTTCTTTAAAAAAATGTATTTTCTATTTTTTGGACTGCCATAAATTTTTTAGAACAGTATTTAAGGCTCTAGAGACCAATTTCTAATGATATAACCTAGATGTGAATTGTTATGGCCAAACCATAATTTTTGGAAACAAAATTGAAACATTTTAGGGTCGTTTTAAAATTTCAAAAAAATTTCAAGGCTCGGGACTGTTTTGAAATGACAAAATTTGTTTCAAACCCAATGGAGTCAATTCTATAAATTACCAAGTTAAATGGTGAATTGGTGATCACAATTATGTGTAAAAGAGTATTATGAGACCAAAGGAGAAGTTTCCATTATTTTAGAAATTCCATCTTATTCAACCTACGAAAGTTATATAACTTTCTTTCCTTTTCCTTCTTTGTTTTTCTTTTTCTTTTTAACATGTTGATTAAATTCCCTCAACTCTCAAACAACTATTATATATACACATTAATATTATAAACCCTACACCATATAATTGAATGAAATATAAAATTCATAAGAGAAGTAATCAATCCACACCTTTAATGGATTCAACTCCTTTTCATGTCTCTCTCTCTCTCTGTGCCAACTTTGCATGTTGTATTCTCCTCAACTCAATGTTTTTGTCTAACGATATAATGAATATGAGGCAACTTAAGGCGGCCGTTCAATTGCATATAGGGTGTAGTGGTCAATTTTTCTTAATAACACTCAAGTCCCTCTAGTTTTTTAGAATTATAACTTTAGTAATAAGGAATTAGTGTACAACCAATTCTGATATTCTAAAACTCTATCCAATTAAACATCAATAATTATCTGGTATCCCCCTACACAAAAAGGCTAATATCTCCATTGATTTCCAAATCACACCCTTAGGTCTATAACGACAGACCTCAAACTAAATAAAAATCTAAAACTTCTCAAGAAGTTTGGGTATTACAACACACGTCCGAATATGATGGACAGAGAGGCCAAAATGACATGGTGTGTCCGAACGATAAGAAAGACGAGTTCAGACACGATGATGAAGTTCAATCATTAACCTTAGAATTTGATGTTAATTAGGTTTCTTATTCCTAAAAGCCAACATAGGAAGTATAGGCTTTGCTTTGTATTGATTCCTTTACTAGTTTTTTTCTTTCTAGTTTTTATTGTAATTTTTTTATGGATTGCTAAATTTCTAACTAATGTTAGGAGAGATACTTTCAATAATACACGATATTTGTTCTTGATTCAATATTTTTAATGCATAATTTATTCCTTTAATTTAATTATTATCTTTTTGTAAAATTTTTGTTCTGTATAATTTCTTGATTTTGTATGCCACATACATCGAATACTTAAGATTTCCTACAAGTCAAATAACTGGTTATTTTATGCATAAATTAATTAATTAGAATTTTTATATGATTTATTATTTGCAATAAAAAGGGTCTACCTCTTGAAAAACTTGATTTATTGTAAATTCCGGACACGGTGAATGCTTGTGATTTACAAGTAAATTCCTATATTTATTCAGATAATCCATTAATTATACTTTCGATGTTTTTAATATTATCACTACTATATATTTTGATTGAGATCACTCATCAGCTGATTCTCAATTGAATTAAAAAACTAGGTCACTAATAATTACTGTATAGAATTGAAAGGGTATTCCGATACTTTAGTATTTCAAATTACTATTTTTACTCAATCAATTTTTGTTCTTCAGAACATCAATTATTTCAAGATCTTCAAAGTAATTTTCTTTTATTTCTTCTTATGTTCTAAGTCTTTCTCAATTCCTCGAGGTACAACCTCGAACTTTTGAATATAATATTATTTCACAATAACTTACACTTGGGTGAACAATCTATAAGTTGTAACAACTTTTTGGTGTCGTTGCCAGGGATTTGATGGAAGACAAGGAGCGCACCGCCATATCTATTGATGTTTGTTTGATTTGTGATTCTTCGAAGACCCGATAACTTTATTCCACTTCTAATTTTCTGTTATTTAATTTATTGTTCTTTGTTTCTACCCTTCTATTTTATTTCTTGTATGAGTTATTAGGATCGTGGTTGAAATGGACGTTTAATTCAAGGGGATTTAGACAAACTTTTTGGTGATTTATTTAATTCTTCCATATAATCTCACACACCAAACATGATAACTAATTATGATGTTAGGAGTAACCAAAATGACATTCAAGGTAATAATTTGCATGCTAATCAGTGTAAAATTTTGCGTGGGTATTTGTAACCTACACCACACTACACTATTAAGTATTATTTTTTCTCTGCAGGCTTTAAACCTTGGATGATAGCATTATTCCCTAAATTTCATGGCCTAAACTCTGAAAATTCTTATCTACATATTAGAGACTTTGAGAAAGCATGTGATATTTTCATGATCCAATTGTGACTAAAAACACAGTCAGGTTGAAACTTTTTCACTTCTCAGTGAAAGAAAAAGCTAAGACTTAGACTAAATTCATTAAGACCAATATCCATTGACACCGGACAACAGATGCAAATAGAACGCAGAGCTGGAGAATGACTAGTTAGTTAGTTAGCTTACTATTTGTTGAGCTGTAAGCATTGATTAGTTTGTTAGGAAGGTAAGTTAGTTTAATAGAAGATCTCACAAGTGTATACATAAATACTTCTATTGTAAAATTCATTCATTCAATGAGAATAATACATCACATGATCTAAGCACTCTGTTCTCTCTCGTCTTCTCTCTTTCTCTCTCATCATCTTCGTCTTCAAACTCTGCATCGTCTTACAACCAATTAACAAAGTGAAATTTGGATTGAACCAATGGAAAAGATTCGTAGACACCACTTAATATTGAGATACCCTAGCTGACAATCTAATAAACTACAACAACACTACAAACTAGATAATGAAGTTCAAAACCTAGATGATTACTTCACAATTTGAAGGGATGAGCTAGACGGTTCCGACTAAAATCTCTGGAATAAAATTTCATACTTGACACATGACACGGCTATGAAATCAACCCAAAGATAAGTGCTTCACGAAAAATAAGTGAACACTTTGTTTTGTTTTTCTTCAAACTCCCAATCCGCTCTCGGTCGTTGTTACTAATGGGGTCTCGATTGATTTCCCTTCCTTTAGCCATTCCGATATTTCAGTTCGCCAAGTTAGAAAAACCCAAGGAGTGCAAACTAGCCACGGAGCTTGGATACTGTTTCCCAATGAGAAATCCATGGTTCACAAACAGTATCTCCCCTTTCGCCTCTGAAAGCTTCCTTCTTTCCACAGCATAAATTATTGATGATGTTGTTCAAAGTGTATATTGCAAAAAATCATTTAGGTCATTCCACTAATTATCAGCACGAGAATTAGATAATATTGCTCAGAGATCTAAAATTTACATGATTCATGTATGAAGCACTTTACAAATCAAAGAGCTCCTATAAGAAACGTATAGACTTATCAAGAATACTACAACAAATCCCAAGCTCAAAGATAGGACTCATTATTAATTTATTAGGTTTTGGTGGAAAAACATAAGAATTATAATCCAGTTAGGTCACCAAACCAAGATTACATTTGTAAACACAAGCTTTTCATCAGCAACAAGACTAATGCAATTTCCTTTCCTACCACAAATTCTAACCGCAACTATGAACAAAGGAAAACAAAATCAAAAATAATTCTTGGTACATACAGAGAAATGAATCCTCCCCGCACTTCATTCACCGCTATGGTCTGGCAAAAACACCCCATACCTTACCGCGACCAAGACTATCCAAGAGCTTCTTAGCACCCTCAACATTGATGTCAACCAGTTTCTGCAAGTACACACAAGCACCCGACGCCACCATTTGTTTACGACATTTCTTCGAATGCACAAGCGATGCCAATATTGAAACATAGTATTTCTTATCCCAACTCTGAATCAAAGGGTCTAATAACAGAACTGCACTGACAATCCCCCTCTCTTCCTTCCTAAAAATCCTTCTATTCCCGGCATAAACCATAAGGTTTGACAATGCCTTAGCAGCCACTTCTTTCTCTTCAACAGCCTTACCATCCAACATTCTAACCAAGGGAGGAATACACCAATTTCACCCAACTCTTTTCGGGTTTTGGTATTAAACCCCAAATCATAAACAGCTTTAGCAGCCCCAATTCTCACACCCAAAACCCCACAATTTAAAACCCCAACGACCCTACTCAAAAACCCATTCAAAACAAGAACTTCAGCAATCAATTGACACTCAGCTAAATTACTTAACATTTGAACAGCCACCTCCAAACTCTTCACAATTGCTGCTGAGTCCCCAAAATTCTTCAATCTCTCAATCCCACCCTCCCCTAGCAACCAATTCTTCAAATTCACATCCCCTGAAACCAAATTACACAAACACCCAATCGCATCTCTTGCGCCAATACAGTCCCTGTACCCGAAAGCCCCAAAGTATCAAAATCGCGTTTCTAAATAAAATTCTCTCTAATTTCTTCA